TTTCCATCAAGCGGGATTGGCCTAGGGGGGGATTTTATAGGGATTTTAAAGGGATTTTATAATTTTTCTAATACAGGTTAATTAATATATATTTTAATTTGGCTTTTAAATATTTATTGTATAGCTCTGTTTTTATTTACCTGTAAGCCGCCCTGAGTCCCTCGGGAGAAGGGCGGGGTATAAATTAAAGTAATAAAAATAAATAAATAAATAAATAAAATAAGGATGAGGGGGGACATTATAGCAGTATTCCAATATCTCAGGGGCTGCTACAAAGAAGAGGGAGTCAAGCTATTTTCCAAGGCGCCTGAAGGCAGGACGAGAAGCAATGGATGGAAACTAATCAAGGAGAGAAGCAACCTAGAACTAAGGAGAAACTTCCTGACAGTTAGAACAATTAACCAGTGGAACAACCTGCCTCCAGAGGCGGTGAATGCTCCAACACTGGAAGTTTTTAAGAAGAGACTGGACAGCCATTTGTCTGAAATGGTATAGGATTTCTTGCCTGAGCAGGGGGTTGGACTAGATGACCTCCAAGGTCCCTTCCAACTTTATTATTATTATTATTATTATTATTATTATTATTATTATTATTATTATTATTATTATTATTATTATTATTATTATTATTATTATTATTATTATTATTATTATTCCCCTCCCACCGTGAAACAGCCGAAGCTGCCCCAACTACCTGTTCATGGAACCAAAAAGGTTGGGAACCCCTGCTCTAATAGAAATAGAATATGTCCAAGACAATTTAAAGGTAAAAGCTCTCAACCAATTCATTTCCCCCTCTTCTGTGTAATTTCTTTCTTTCTATCTTTTTTTACTCACTGCTCTGTAACATGTAGAGGCCACTCAGTATGTTCAGATCTGCTCTTATGGATTTTTTCTTGTTTCTTACGTAAATAATCTGTGTAGTTCTGCATAATTTAAGATTCAACACAGATACTATTTTTATTCATGCAAGGTCCAAAGTATGTTTTCCGAATCATTTTGGGAGTGTGCACAGCCTTAATAATGACGATTTTGTAATGATTCTTTGACATGAACAGGGACAAAGTATGCAAAAAAAATCATGTTGATTTCTTGCAGGCGAAGTACATGAAGCTTGCTAAATATGTGTCTTGCCAAGAAATAAGACACAACACCAATGCTCTTAATGAGCGCAAAGGAACAGCACAATCTAACAGAACAGTCTGAAATAGCACATAATTCTTTCCTTCATCTCCCAAAGAATAATAAATGCTTGTAGAAGACTGGAAAACTCCAGGAAATCAGAAAATCAAACAGACAGTTGGTATCATACATTTATTTTTTATTATTTGTTAAATAATAAATGCTTTTAAAGAAAAGGTTACTGTTCTAAAATTTAGAAAAAAGTGTTTTCTCTTTTTAGGGTTAATTTTTTTTAAAATAATATAGGGAATTCTTTGAATATAAATTATGACAGTTTATAAAGATTAATGAGTAAACAGAAGTATATACTATTCTCCATAGCTAGAAAAAGCAGAGATAGTTAAATTGATTCCTTTATCCAAAGAAGAGAATATATTTAATTTTGTTTCTATTTGGAAATTGCTTCTGGATTTTGTGCTTGCAAAGGAAAAAAAAATCTTGTTTTTGCTGATTAAATATATTTGTTGCTGTAGAAATGGCTAGTATATACTATTGTGTAAAATAAAAAACAAATGTGTGAACTATACTCTGAAACAACCTTAACTCTTTCAGTGAAATTGAAAGTGATTATCACAGGGTACAGTGGAATTCAGATTTGAGGAAAAATTGATATGAAAAATGCATGCATGAGAAAATATTGAAAGAAAACTGAGCAAGACTGTGTTCTACAGTCCACTGCATGGCTTCTTCTGGAAGGGAACCAAATTCCCAATCTTTGAGGGGGATTGGGATGTGACCCTCTCCCAGCCTCGGCCTACCTTACAAGGTTGTAAGAATAAGATAAGCAAACCTTTGTGCCATCTTAAGTTTCTCACATGGAAGACTGTAATAAGCTGAGACAGTAAAATGTACACATTTTTTGTTCTATGTGTTTTCCTTTTCCAGCTCTCTTTTCCACTACTTTTTACAAATAGGTCAGGAAGATACAGGGATTTTACTCCAGACAAGCAAGAGGCAGACTCTAGACAGTAACACTGGTCTTTGTTTGTTTGATATGTCAGTCAGCCAAGCAGCCAGCCTGTCACCAGCCAAGCCAACAGTCCAGGGCATTTGTTTTATTTATTGCTTAGTAAGACATGGTGCCCGGTGTTGATATCGGTGGCTGGCTGAGTCAGCAACTGCCACAAATTACAGAATAGCTATGAGAGGGAACAAAGAAAAGTTCAGGATTTTGGCAACAGAAAAGCTATCTCTCTATTTACAATTTGGAAGGTGAAACTAAACAGATGCAAAATTGTTCCTTTCTCTGTCTTTTCTTTTCAGGAGAGTATTCATATGGCATGGACAAAGTGTATTCAAAGCTCCTAAGGAAAGTGGTTAGTTATTCTGGTTACTTTATTTGGAACCTCCTCACATTTCTATGGAGGTAGAAGAATTACTAGAAAGTGAAGAACCGAGTGTCTTGTTGGGTTAGTATATTTAACATGAAGTGGTTTGTTTGTTTGTTTATTTATTTATTTATCCCTTTAATTCAGCCTTCGGTAGTGATTGTCATTGTTATGTCACTGAAAATTATGTGGAAAATATGTTTTTTATTGTTCGCAAAAACTACTAGGACCATGTGACAGAAGTTTTGCAAAATGAAGAGATCAAAATTTTCTGAGATTTCAAAATTCAAACTGATACGTACTTGGAACCTACTAGAATGGAACTACTCCTAAAGTTATAGAAAAAAAATAAAGTTTGTTTATTGATGGGGCAATACCCGAAGTAGTCAGATTAATGAAAAACAACAAATTTACAAATTATGGAGGAGAAAGATCAGTACTAATACCTAATGAAATTGGAATCTTGGTGTACTGACAAAAGGATCCACCATTTAGATATTTTAAACTTAATGGACTAAAGTCTCCTAATCTTGGGGAAAAATCCTATTTGGAACAGCTTACATTATATGGCATTACCTTCAAAACTCTTAGGTCCTTGACTGCGACCTGAATCATTATAGTCAACACCCAGTCAATTAGATTGTGATATTCATTTGAGCAATTACAATACACATTTCTATTCCCTTTTAATGTATTATATACATATCAATTATCAGTTACATACATTGTAAAAATGTTCAAGTATTCTATAGGAGAATGTTTTCGCCATGGATGTGGAAGAGTAAAGCTCCACTTTACTCTAGAGACACCATTTTTGTCTCTGTTTATTCTTTCCTAACCCTCTCAGTGCCTTTCAGCAGTCATCATGATTTTCATCCTTTTTCTATTCAGCAATTTCTATTCATTCCATTGTTTAATCATATCCCAATGGCCAGCTGAAAATTCAGTGCATCTTAATGTAATATTTGCCATCTGTGTTCATCCATAACTCATTCATGCAGTGGAAAATATATGCTGAAAGTCATTCTGATGACCTACCCTAAATGCCTCTTAGTTCCATAGCAATTGCATGACAATGTGCTCTGAATCTTGTCTGTTCCCCATAGTAATTTTATGACTAACACTGAAAAAAGTAATGACAAGGGTTTAAATAAGCAGGTGGAGTTTCTTACTTAAAGGAGTCCTACAGGATGATAAGCATAGGGAGCCCACATGAATCCAAGACAAGCATTGGGAGCCAGCATGAATCCAAGAAAGTTATCTATTCTTTCCTGGCACATGATACAACTGGTACAATTAAATGATACAACTAAAAAGTGATTTCTTTGAGGAAAACAGAAATTAGGCAGCATCTAAAGCACAAAAGTTCAGGGTTCTTATTCAAAGGCTTTTCATATGGAAAAGTCATTGTTCCCATTTGATTCCCAAACAATGTGAAAAGAGAAGGAAGGAATGAAGGAAGAAAGGAAGGAAGGAAGGAAGGAAGAAAGGAAGGAAGGAAGGAAGGAAGGAAGGAAAGAAAGAAAGAAAGAAAGAAAGAAAGAAAGAAAGAGAAGGAAGGAAGGAAGGAAGGAAGGAAGGAAGGAAGGAAGGAGAAAGAAAGAAAAAGAAATAAAGAGAAAAGGAAGGAGAGAAAGAAAGAAAAAGAAAAAAGAAAGAAAAGAAAAGAAAAGAAAAGAAAAGAAAAAGAAAAAGAAAAAGAAAGAAAGGTTCTTCACTTTTTGACAATTCATTCATATTTATGCTGAGGTCCTATTTATGCTTACAGAGAAATAAGGCTCTTATTTCCCAGTGGGCACATCTATGGTTTCATAGTTTAGGTCTATCAGATCTGGGCTGCAATCCAGATAATCAGTAGACAGTAGCAAAGAGAGGCAGAACAAATACAGTATATGGCTGCTATTTAATGATTGTCTGGACTTTATGGTTCATATCTGATAGCATTATTATAGTTAGTGGAATTTCTTCTTCCTGCTATCAGAGAAGCAAATGTATTAAATTAAATGGGAATTCAATTGCATTGGTAGGTTGACATGGACTGATGAAAACAATCCATTCTCTCACACAGAAATCTGGCAAAAAGCAAATATTTCTTCTAAACAATTTATGAGACATACAAAATGGTGTAAAATCATTTGAAAATAGGTGGGGAGACAAAGCCCGAGGCTTTTAGTTGAGGAATGACAAGAACTTATCTAGAAAGGTTTATGAAATTACTAAACTTATCATAAAACAGGGCTTACAATTGATTTTTTTTTACCCTGGAATATAGACTTTTCTCAGTGAAGTTGACTATCTTTAAAGATCCATTCTAGTTGATTTATATTTCATCACATAAGACCATTTCTTTCTTTCTCACTTTTCTGGTTTTCTCCATTCTCACATGCAACAGAGGTAGTGAGAGGATTCCACACAAGAGACACTAGCCATTTGGCTATGGGGAAATATAGGAGCACCTCTTGAAGACATAGGTGCCCTAAATCCAGATCATGGGCACACATATCTGGTGTTTCATAGTCAAGGAGGACCTCCCCAACAATCCCAAAGTCTAACATCTGTACCAGTGAGGTGTGAAAGAGATAGTAGCATTTCAACTTTTTTCTGAAACAAATGAAAGATTATGGACATGATGCTATCAAACACGCTTCTGTTCTTAACAAAAACTCTATGCAGTGGATTTGACTGAGCATCAGTTAACTCATAAAAGGTCACCATATGATGAATGAGGATTTGAATTGGGTCTCTCTGATTAAAGTGACTGAAACTAACCAATAAGCAACAAAAGCCCACTTCGCTAACTTTTGCTATTTTCTGGATATTACAATATAAAATAGGTAACTCTGGTGATTTTTTTAAAAAAACCAGTAAATAAGCAAGTAAATATTAAAGTTATCTAATGGGGTCTTTGGGTTAAAGCAAACAGTGACATTGGAAGTCTGCTCTGCTTTCCCTTATTGGAAGCTTGGAGAGAAATTGGTATCAAAAATAGGAAAAGAAATTGGGAAAACAGTGCTTGTAGAGAAAGTAAATGCTGAGAGAAACCAAATGGAAGTTTAGCATTGTTAGAGCATAATTCATGGCATCAACCCTTTGCGGTAAGCCAAGTGGGGACTAATGGAACTCTATTATTGCCAGATATATTAGTGGAATCTTGAAACTAAATAATCTCTCATCACTATTTCTTATACCAAAGAGTATCAAGATGGACAATCTTGAGTTTCTTTCTCACTCCCTCATATCTTTCAGGACTAAGCTGGTGTTTCCACAACAGCTGTTGAATACCTTCTTCAAGGCCGTATCACTCTAGATATTGTACATTTTGAATAATATCTCCTGATTCTCTTCAAATCCCACAATTACTACATTAATCACATTGTTGGCACTGAAGATGGTGTTATGACTGAGTAATTACCTCACTGGCATGGAAACTAAAACCTCCATACCAAGCCCAGTTATATAATTCCAGACTTCTTGGGTCTTGTTAATTGAAATTAAAATACAGAAACACAGTAGGATTGATTTAAAAAAAAAATCCATTCGTGTTGGGAAACTCTTGCCCAGCATCAAATTTATTATATTTTAACAATGGCCATTACATTTTATAGTTTCTTTGATAGTGTGCTTGTCAGGCAAAAGGAAATAAGTTGGATATAATAAAAAGAGATTACTATGGAAAACATTGCCCTCTACTCAATTTGTTTGTTTTGGCTACAATTGCACAGAATATTTCAGCAGCTAAGACAAAGGTTAAGCACAAGTAGCAGTAATTGATCATGATAAACCATTTCTAACCATAGGAATAAAAGTATTTTATTGTCTGCTTGCAGCAGCTGATCACAGGGAAGTTGAGTGTCTTATCATAACATTCATCACATTATTTTATAAAGGTAATGAATCAGATCCGAGAAGCAGCTTTAAATGTTTAGAAATCCTGTACAATTGATTTTTAAAGTAACTAGGGAGCCTAAACAGAGAATATCCCACCACTGAAGCATTTGTTTTTTACAATATACTCTCTAAAGAGCAATTGTTCCTATGTGAGGCAGCTTAAATTCGTCACAGTGAAGACCTTTTCATTGGGAAAATGATGTAATTCTTTATATCAAGACAAAGAGGAGGTGTGATTTGCCTTAATGATACACTGCATACTGCCTTCTAGGCACCCCATCATCTTCTATCATATGTCCTCAGGGTTCTTTCCTTCATTTGCAAAAGTTGGATAAGGATTCTAAGGAAAGTTCCAAAAGACAGCATGATGGAAGCTCTTTTAAGTGCTTGCCACCACCAATAGCATCTTCAGTACTTGGAAGGTTGGAAAGAATTTCCAGAGAATTCTAAAATGAGTGTTGCTTTATAGTCTCCTCCAAGCATCCTACAGCATGGGCAAAAGCCAAAATGGTGGCCTTTTTTCACTCTTAGAATTGTCAAAGGAAAATGAACAGGCTCTGGGGAAGCAAGTGCAGAGAGAATCAAAGCACTATAAAGCATCAAGACTGCTTCTCTTTATTCTTAGAAGTCAGGGGGCTGTGTTGCTTCCGGAAGCTGCCTTGAGGGGTGATTCATGCAAACATTGCACCTTCCTTCAGATATTATTATTTGAGGCCTAATGAAACCACATTCTATGCTATTTTGAAGGAAATAAAGAGAAAAGAAGAATTAAAGAAATATCCAGAAAAGATAAGTATTCCTCAACAAATTAAGCTTTTACAACAGTTGCCTTTAAAAGTAAGAGAAATGGAAGTGAAGATGAATTTTGTAAAACCGAAAAAAAATGAGTTTGCAAATAATCCAAAGAAGTGGCTAGCAGATACATTACAGAAAGAAAAAGAAAAGCATATTGAAATTATAACTTCAAATTTATGTTGGAAATGAGAACGACTAGAAGGGACATTTTACCATGCTTGGTGGACATGGAAAAAAGCTAGAGGATTCTTGTCTCAAACACACATAATAATTCAGAGGATTTTTAAGATTAATATAAAATTGAGACTAGAGGTTTTTCTTTTAGGACCAAAGGCTAAGCATTAAAAAAAATCATACAACTTTGGTTTTGTACATGATAACTGTAGAAAAGATTATTGTATGCACACAGTTTGAAAAATTTGGCTTTGCTCACAATGGAGGAATGATTGGTGAAGATGATGGAACTTGCTAAGATGGCTAAATTGATTTCTTTGATTGGAGAAAAGACAATAGCTAGATACATTGCTGATTGGAAATTCCATATGGACTTTTTGCATAAAACAGAAAAAAATAACTTAAGATTTATGGTTTTGATATTTCTACAGGATAGATTATAGAAAAAAGAGAGCTATGTTGTAACTTTAGAATAAAAGGTAAAGTTGTAATTGTACATATAACTTCTGTAAAGGAGGTTGGAAACTATTTCTTTGTAGTTTTTGTCTTTTCTATTTTTCTATTTTTCTTCTAGGGTTGTCACACTGGGTCTGCTGCACTCAGCCAATTCTTTTACGCTGCAGGGCAGTATTACAGCGGATATAAACCATGAGTTTCAATTCAGAAAAGGACAGTCATTCTCTATCGTATCCCGGGAGGGAGATGAGAGAAATAATGAGATGGAATTTCATGTGATGGGATTGGTGATGTCACTTAGCCTGCTTGTGAAAGGCAATTGGACATTAAATCAAAGGAGATCAAAAGCCTGGATTATTTCAGTCCTGCCAGGCAATTATGTGATGATAACCCACTTTATTATAAAATATAACTCAGGGGAACAGCTTGCCTTTAG